TAGCAATGAGCTTATACGCTTTTTAATGAGGTTCAAAAAAACAACCTGAGACTGAATTTAAAGAATTTGAGCAAGGGCTTAAATTTAAGCTGTGGCTTAAATATGGTTTTAATCCCACTTAAAATTGTATTCATTTTTTCAAGATTTAAGCCGGCGCTCAATTGAAACCGGTGTTTGGCAGATTTAAGTTGTGCTCAAATACTTTAAATTCGGACACTGTTGCATATAAAACCTTGCAAACAGACGACAAAGATAAACACTTAATAGATAGATATTTGAAAAGAATGTTTCCTTTGATTTGGTCGGTCAAATAAATCTAGAGATTTAGATTTACTAGACTCAAGGCGGCAAGATTTAGATATATTGCTGCTAATTCTTGAATTACTTCTGAAAGTGTGAAGTTCAGGACTGTTACTAGAAGAGGTTGTAGTTGAGTTAAGGCTTGAAACATTATCCTAGTTCAAAATCTTTCCTTAGAATTTTGCATTCTGATTTCAATGTTAAGATAAAATAAATAACCATTCAAAAAATCTTAAAACCAATTAAAGCTTAGAGGAAATGACTAATTTTATTATGTTTAAATTTATTCTGTCCATTTGAAAGTTTACACTTCATTAAAACATTTTAATTAATATGATTTATAGTATGACTGTGCAATATACAAACTCATTACAATCAGTTAAAATTAATCTTGATAAAAATAACTAAAAATTTTCTTTAAGAATGTCCATCAATAATCAGTAATAAATCTTAATTTGCATAGAAATAACATGGCTAAGCCTTCTGCAGCTCAAAGTGTTAGAAATTTTAAAAGGTATGATTTCCTTAGATGAAGATATACTGTACTGGCGGCGCAATGGATTTCTTAATCGAACTGTTCTTATAATATTTAGATCTGTAGTATCTGGGGTTGAAGCACATAGTAGAGGGGAACTGTGTACTGTTGTGTAGTCAGCAGAACTAATTATGCCATCAGACATTAGACTCTGGTTATAAGAGAATTTAGGTGAAGCTGGAACCTCCGTATCAGTGTTAAATTCATCCATTTCTGGTCTTTGTTCGTCACTTTATGCTTATTTTCTAAATTTTTTTACATTGTAGATAAGGTCGCTTCACACAGAATATCCCTCCAACTAAACGTTTAACTCATTTTAGTTCTGGAAAACTTTAATTTAACTTTAAGTTTTGCGAGTGTATTTGATTAAGTATTTATATACTCTGTCTTTAAAAGTAACAACTTCCTAGCTATATTTTTAACTACCATTTAACTTAATGCAGATATTTGCTTGGATGGTTCTTAAAGATAAATATTGATGCGGGCATATCCTTAATACAAGAAAAGATCTTTAAGCTTGACCAAGACTATTAGGATTTTTGGTTCTTAGAAAGGAACTCACACTGCATACCAATGTCTTTCTTTGCTGTGTGAATGACGTCTACTGTGTATAATTAATCTCAACAGCCACACATTGTTGTCCCTAATTTGTTGTATTGGCCTTAATCAATAATCTGATTTACATTATAATCCAATAATAAATAGGTGTTAAAATTAGAATATCTAAAAAAAATTATTTGATTTATTCCTATGAAAAAAAATGACAAGAGTCATGTGTAAAGAGCACAAATAGATTTTTTAAAAAATTTTAAATCAAAAAACATTGTGAAAAAATGTAAATTGTGTAATTTTCTTTTCTAAATGGTAAAAAGGAGGGCTAAAAGATAATCTTAAATATTCTATTGATGTTAGTATATAAGAGTAAGTGAGTTACTGATAATCTATCTTCCCCAGAGTATAATATTTCTAGACATTCTAATCCAATTTCTATGCACACAAAAAAAACAGTTCAAATATGAATGTTCTTTGCAAACATTGACTTAAAGACTTAAAGACTGTAAGAGTAATTTGATATCTTCAATACAAAGATAGAAATGCCTGTATCACAATCGTACCCATGAACCCTTCATTTTAAGGTTTAAAAAGTGTATATTTCTGATAATTTCAATATGTTTTCATGCAGTAGGAATTCACAAGGAACCCCAGATGAAAATGAACAGTTTTCAAAATTATAAATATTCATATCTAATTAACAAAGCTCTTAAAGATATCATTGAGAATCAAGCATTGCTATCCTTGAATAGATAGACAATTAATTATGCTAAGAGTCCTGTTAGCAAAAATATTTCATAGAATTATCTTGTGAATATCTATTTTGACCCATCTTTATTTTTAAACAATTATTACAGAAAAACTAAGTAGAAAACCAAAATTCCCAAATATTAAAAAAAATAATGAATAGAATTAAGTTAGAATTTTAATCTTGAAAGCCTACTGTTATCCGGGGTGTACATTTAAAATTCTCTAAAATTAATACAATCATCTTTTTAAAAAAATGTTAGTAAAGTAAAAAAAAAATACTTTTGTAAAAAGAGTTGCAGGGGACTGGTTTATGACAAACTAAAAACAATACCCGTGTATGTTGTGTGAGTGTGGGTGTGTGTGTGTGGGGAAAGGCTAAAAAAGTTTTGTTTAATCTGTTCAAACTTTCCTCCTCCTCTTCAAGTATTTCACTAGAATTTCTTTACCTCCAAATTACAGGTAAATACAGAGTAATAAGAGATTAAATATTAAATTTTTCAAATGAAACGAGAATTTAAAAAAGAATAAGAATGTTAGTTACCTTCTGAGAAGATATTGTTTTAAAAAATCTAAATATTATTATTGAGGAAGGGGGATATAATTGCCAATTTGTATCAAATTCAAATTTTGAAACATTTATTTCTTAATAGGGAGAGCATTGGAGGCTGAGGAGTTAATGATTTTGAAAAATCATAAATTGAGACTTCCTTTTATTGACTCCTATATTACCACTTTTTAATTTTTTATTTTGACCTGAAATCAATTATCTGAAGATTCCAAAAAGAACAAATTTAGGGATACAATTTTAAAAATGGCGTTCAAAGAGAGAACAAATTGTCTATTGAGGATAACTTTTACCCCCTAATGGAATTCTCTTATGGGCTTTATTTCATTTTAATTTATTACTGCGTCAAGCTATAAGTGTAACCCTACAATTGTTATATAAATTTGGCTTTGTCAGATTTTCTGAAGTAAAAAAATTATAAAAAATCAATTTTTCCACTTCTTCCCTCCATCCACCACGGCCAGCAAAGGTTAGAGGGTCTGGTTTAGATTAAAGTAAAAACTTGAAAGGTTTGTAGAGAGAGGGAAAAACTATGTAATTGAGAGAACTTAACATTTGTTAGTTAGGGGTATTGCTTGAAATCCCATAGTACTTTCAGCTTTTTTTAATTCATTATATATATTTTTGTTTGTTCAGTTAAGGCTTAAGCTAAAGATATAAGAGATTTTGGGAAAACTAAGATTCATAGAAAATAAAAAAAAGTTTTTTTTGTCACATGGATGTCAGCTGGAAACTTTGTATTGGAAACTCAAAATCCAGATAATTTGATCTAATTATCCACTGTGGACACTTTTAGTTTGAGAATCTCTAAAAAACCCTTTTCCCTTTCTTCTCTTCATTTTAGTTTTTAGTTATTCTTTCCCTGATCATAGCTCCCCTCGACCCCTGACTGGGTATGATTGGCATGCAGTGGATATTGAAATATGGATAAATTAATCTGTAGATATAGAAGAAATTAAGATCAGGCGTTGATCTCGATATCCATAATGCATGAGTTCCCAACTCTGGATCCAGTAAAGCAAAAAGTTGAAGATCCAAGTTACCGAAATTTTATGCAAAGATTCTGGGATAATACAATATTTGATATTATAACAATACTGCATAATAGATACACAGCATGTATCCACATAGCATCTTTCTATGTGACTTCCTGAATCACACAAATAATCACAGGTGACAACAACTTAAAAGAAAAACATGTGCACTTATATCCTTATTAATGCTGTATTCATCAATATTCAGCATACAAATGTACAGACTTTTTGCTGGAAGGGAAAATGGGTGTGGGTCGGAGGCTATAGGGGTAAGCGCATGGTGTAAATACCATTTCGTAACGTAATTTGGGGGTCAAACGGGTGTGGCCCCCCCCCCCCTCCCCTAGCAAGAGTGGAAGTAGCAAACGCCACAAAGTTATTTATTTGTTTTAAATTTATTCAACAGCATTTCCTTAATTTAAAGATAAACTACAATGTTATTTCCCCCCTCTTAAATAACCACGATTAAAATGTACAACTGTGGATTTTCTATTTCATAATTATGACCATTTCATTACTACATATAATTAATAATATATTTGCTAGTTATAATACTTTGTTTACTTGTGAAACATATTCAATATATTCTTATCATAGTGCTGTTACTTAGCTAACAACATATTTACAATGTATAGAGTGAATGAGAGCATGTGAGTTTAAGGGAAACCAATAGAGACTAAACTACGGAATACGGTAAATCAGACTCCATCCATCCTCCATACAGTTGATAGGATACAGGATACACACACATATATACAGGATACACACACAGATATACAGGATACACACACATATATACAGGATACACCCACATATATACAGGATACACACTCATATATACAGGATACACACTCATATATACAGGATACACACACATATATACAGGATACACACATATATACAGGATACACACACATATATACAGGATACACACACATATATACAGGATACAAACACAGATATACAGGATAAACACTCATATACAGGATACACACTCATATATACAGGATACACACACATATATACAGGATACACACACATATATACAGGATACACACACAGATATACAGGATACACACTCATATATACAGGATACACATGGTCATGGTCTAAGAATTCTAAGTTAAAGAAAAAAACTATATGAATGTATAAAGTAAATATTATAATCCAGAGATGAACAATACTGTTTTATATTTCCGGTATGTACAATATGTACATATTGTAGTGAACAGTTGCAACTAATGTATAAAAATATTGTGCCTACCGTAAGAGTTCTTCAAAGCCAGGCTGTTTACAGACTAAAGATCCATTTGGTTCAAGGTTAGAACCAGCAGTAGGGTCAACCTCAGCTTTTTCGGTGTTCCTAGGTAGGTAGGTAGGTAGGTAGGTAGGTAGGTAGGTAGGTAGGTAGGTAGGTAGGTAGGTAATCACTCTATTTTGCAATCCTAAAACTGAAGAAAAATATATGTTTAAAAATTGTGGAGTGTAGACATAAATTCAAGTTTCTCAGATTCACAACTTTGACAAAGCAAAAATTATTGGAATTGATGCAGCAAAGACAAGGTAGGAAACTGACAAAATGTTTTTTTTTAGATGATCATCATCAAAGGTTACCAAATGTTGTGAATCGTCCATCTTTTTACATATAACAAAAACAAATATTCTAATTTATATAAATTCGTTGCAATTTCAAACTTTTTCAAGAAAACGTTTTTTTTTTAGCAAATTTTGTTCTGAATAAAAATGGTGAGAGTAGGAAAATCAAAAAGGATTAAATTGTTAAATTTTTAATTCAATGTGACGTCACTTGTTTCGACCAAGGAGGCCGGGGGGTGAGGAGAGAGGATAGGGGCATGGGAAGAAAAAATGGATGGAGGGGGGGAGGAGTCTGAGTGATTTTACATTGCAAGAAGAAGAAAAAAGGGTATTCTTTTTGAAAAAAAAATAATTTTGTTGAAAAAGGAAATTCTGAATTGTCTGTATCATTAGAAGTACATTACATTTTCAACCCGAAACTAATGTCTTGTTGAAAAATTGAAGAATTAACCATCAATCTCCAAAAATTCCGATAATTGCAATTGCACCAGTAAACATAGCTCACCCCTTCACCATGACACACACACACACAAACAAACACACACTGCACAGTGCTCTCAGTGCACACTTATGAAGTTCATGTTAAAATTGTAAAAAATTGTTAACTTTTCTCTTCTGTAAATTTTAACCAACAAAGAGAGGACGGGTGGTTAGGTAAAGGGGAGGGAGGAGACTAGGATATTAATTATTTATTTACAACTCTACTTTACAGGAAAGAAATTTTTGTTGTAAGACCAATTTTGGACATGCAGGAACCCGTGGTTATTTACAAAAAAGTCGTTATACATAATCTTATCGTCTTATAAGATTAAAATGCGCGGGTTTTTTCACAAAAACTTCGTAAAGAATGTCTTTATTTTATTTAATTGTCCCNAATGTATAATGCAAGGAAAGTTCTATCAATTTTGTACATGGATTTCACATGTAACACTCACCCAGACCAAATATAACGCCAGGTCTGGATTTAACGCTACACCGGAGATATTAAGAGTTTCGTTCAGATTTCAATTTTATTGAATAAAACAAAATTTGTCGAAATTTGAACAAAATTCTACATTTCTCCGGTAATATGGAGAGCACAACAAGATTAGGGATATTTTGTAATTATTAACCATAGAACTTTACTTCTAAAATTGGGTTTATGAATAAAAAGCGTAAATTATATCAAAGACCAAAGACGATCTTCAAGCTATCTTGTTATATGTTTCGTTGGACACCCTGTATCATCCTTTGCAGGGAACTCTGTATCAATTACGACTGGAAACTTTTTTTGGTGCCAAATAATTTTGCATAATTTTTTTTGTTGAAAAACAGCAAATCAAACCTTCTAATTGTTAATTTTTTTCGTTTTTTACCTGCTACTAGTGAATGTTCCTCCATCAAGTAAAGAGATGACCGCGAAGCACAGAACAGCTTGGCTTATCAACCTAGCAACAGAGCATTAAGAGGAATAGTCCACTCTATTTTAATTGACACTTGCTTAAAGGGACTGTAATTATAATTTCAAGTGACCCTTCATGTAAAGATGGCAATGCCCGATTTACAACGGTACCCTTTAAGTATGAAATATCAAGTATGAAATATATCTATGTTTTTGAAAACTAATTATTTTCAATTTATTGTGATTTCTCTACAAAAAGGACTTGCGCATTTCTACTGTACTACTGCAGTTAAACATTTAAGAATAATCACTATTGACCACTGTCCAAGAGGGGGGGAGGCAATAAATGTAAAGTTTTAATTAAGTCCGCACAATATGGCAGATCTCCCAGAAATAGGTATTAAAAGTATCTAATTGTAATGTAGTAATCTAACCGACACAGCTTATCCTTGACTTACCCGAAAATAAATTGACTCGCTATATTAGTTTCAAAATTTCGTCAAGTTCTTTTCAGGTCTTCTTCAAATATTCAATTAAACGTATATTAATGTCTATGATAAGGAACTAAGGATTATGTCATGTGTTTTCAATGTTTGGAAAATTGTAACTCGAGACCTCTAGCGGCGAAATTTTGAACCTTCAACTTCCTGTTACAGGCTGGAAAGATCTGAACACTGCCCCCACCCTTTAAACACACAGAATAGCTCCCATTCCTCACAGAGTATAAAGAATAATACACAAATTATCAAGCAAAATATACAGATTTCTTAAATATTCTTACGTAAACTTTAAACAAAAAAATACGATATGGGAATGCGACGCTCTGCAGCTTGGCTTATCAACCTAGCAACAGGGCATTAAGAGGAAAAGTCCACCTTATTTTAATTGAAACTTGCTTAAAGGGACTGTAAGTATAATTTCAAGTGACCCTTCATGTCAAGATGGCAATGCCCGATTTACAAAGGTACCCATAAAAAGAGTTGTCTGATTAAGTAAGAAATATATATCAATGTTTATAATTTTTGAAAACTAATTATTTTCAATTAATTGTGATTTCTCTACATTTCTACTACTACTGCATTTAAACATTTAAGAATTATCACTATTGACCACTGTTCAAGGTATGAAAACGTTAATATCTTCTGCATTCTTGATTAGATAATGGTTTCAAGGGTACCGTTGTGAATCTGGACTTGTCATCCTTGAATTACGCTTCAAGTTTTTTTTATAAATTTATTGATTTAATTGAGTCTACACCTTTGGGTAGATCTCCCAGAAATTGTTTTAAGTAGTTTTTAAAAAAAACGTTTTTGTAACGAATTAAACTAACCGACACTCTTTATCCTTGACAAACGCGAAAACAAATTGTCTTTTTTTTAATATTTTAAAAACTTTTTAACGTTCTTTTTATGTTTCCTTGAAATATTGAATTAAACGTATATTAATTTCTATAATAAGGAACTAAGGATAATGTCATGTGTTTTCAATGTTTGTATAATTGTCACTCGAGACCTCTAGCGGCGAAATTTGGAACCTTCAGCTCCCTGTGGCTATGTTTCAGGTTTGAGATCTGAACACTAGCTCTCCCCACCCTTACACACACACAATAGCTCCCGTTCCTCATTTAAGAATAATATAAACTATCAAACTGAATATACAAATTTCTTTTAGTATTTTGACGTAAACTTTGAAAGAAAATTTGAAATGGGAAATATGGAACGCTCTGCAGCTTGGATTATAAACCTAGCAACAGAGCATTTAAAGGAACAGTCCAACTAATATCAATTGACACTTGCTTAAAGGGACTGTAAGCATAATTTCAAGTGACCCTCCATGTAAAGATGACAATGCTTGATAAACAATGGTACCCTTAAAAAGCGTTGTCTGATCAAGTATGATGTATATTTCAATGTTTATATTTTTGAAAAACTAATTATTTTCAATTAATTGTGGTTTCTCTACGAAAAGTGACTTGCGCATTTCTACTACTACTGCAGGTAAACATATAGGAATTATCACTACTAGCCTTTTAGGGCGCTTCGCGCCCATCTTCTATTTAAATTGTGAACATGTTCTTTTGTTTACATTTTAAAACAAAGAAGAATAAAATTTTGCGGATTTAAAAAAAAAATTAGCGGATTTTCAAGAATTTAATTTTTTTTACAAAATTAAAAACCTTTAAAATCTATAAACCTTCCCTGTGGTCACGTGATGTCCCACAAAAAATTTGGGCCCGATCGGTTCAGCCGTTTTGACGTTTATTGGATACAAACAGACAGACAAACAGACAGACAAGCCAAATTTATATATAGATTAACCACTGTCCAAGCTAGGAAAACGACAATATCTTCAGCATCATTGATCAGATAATGGTTTAAAAGGTTCAGTTGTGTATCTGGATCTTTGAATCTTTGAAGTTAAAATCTTAATTAATACATTATACCCTCAACCCTAGACTGGGACCAAGTGACTCCATTTCTGAAAACCACCTTTGATAACTAAACTATACTCATGCTAAAGTCTTGTAAGGCACCTGTTTTTTGGCAAACCCTGTCAATCATAATATGCGATATCCAGATAAAAGAGTTATTATTAATAAATTGTAAACTATTATATTGATTAATGTAATTTTACTTTAGACAAATATAAATGATGAATATTTAAATTATCAAGCAGAATATTCAGATTTCTTGTAGTATTCTGACGTAAACTTTGCCAAATAAATAGTAAATGGAACGCTCTGCACTTATATTCCCAAGAAATAGTTATTTCCCGTGAAAAAGAAGCCAACTATAAAAACTTTAAATTGATTATTATAAATCAAAAATAATTATTTAAAAATCTTATTTTTTATATTAACCTTTCCTTTTAAATCAGAACAAACAACATAATATTTCCATCTCATAAATAACTAAGCTTCAACACCAGGGACATCTTGCGGTGAAATTTAGAATCTTAACTGGCAGTACAGGTAATGTTGGGTGTTAAAAATAAGTGGGGGGTGGGGTTGTATTGATTAGGGATATAAAGGGTTGTAATTCATTATTTTCTACGCCTTAAATATTTGTCTCAAATAATTAAATTGTTTTGAAAATACATAATTTACATGTACTAAAAAAAATACATAATAAAGAAATAAAATTAAACCCATTGAAAATTGTATCGAAAAAATTGCCAAGCACTTATTTTATTCATTTTAAACTAAATCTTTTCTCTTACTTCTTAAGATAAAAAATTTAGTGTTGCATTTAAAAAAAGAAATTTAGGAGGAAATATTTGATATATCATTTAAAAAAAATTCTTACCCGAAGCCCAAGAATAGAAAGTAGGATTCTTTCATTGTCGATCATTGCCCGAGAGATGGCGCATTTTTTATAACATTTTTCACGGATTTTCTAGGCAGCCATTTTTCTTTTCACATGGATTTAATCTGAAAATAACTAAGTCAGGAAACAATTTTGAAAGTTTGATTTTTTCATGAATGAATGAATTTGTATGAACGAATAGATATGATATAATATAAATGTTTACAAGCTTTCTGTAAATTTTTGGCCCTTTGTTAGTGTGCAAATTTTTGTGGATTTATATAAAGATCCAAAGCTAATATAAGACGCAGGCTACAGCATAGCTTATAGATTGCAGTACTTTTTTCTACACAAGATGAAATTGTAATTATCAGATAAAATCAGAGCAGTTTTAACTTAATTTTTAAAATTTTTGTCAACTGGTACTGGACAAAATACTAAAAATTAGGTTTTTAATTCTCTGATTCTCTCCCACTGCATCAATATGAATTTTACAAGCAACTGTATATGCACCAAGGTTGTATAACAAGGTTGCTCAATCTCAATGCGCTCTAATGCATGAATGTACGGAAAATGACCTTATCTTAGCATAGATAAATAGAATTCGCATATGACATCATTCTCGCCTTTATAAATAGTGACGTCATATACGGATTTTATATCTATGTTTAGAAGACGACATTTCCCGTATATTGGAGCGCAACGAGAGTAAGCAACCTTATAATACAACCTTGATATGCACTGATAAAACGTATTTGACGTCTGTACAGTATCCATGTAAAAAGTATAATATACACTTTATAGATTGTACAATTGACATTGTCACAACACGATTTAGTACACGTGCCTGTTACCCTTCTTTACATTGCAAACATGGACTGCAAGCTACATTACAGTGTACACGGTGTACACTGAGTACAAGGTCCGATAACAAACCAGTGTATGTATGCTTAAACAACTTAATGTACAGAGTAAAGTACATTAAAGTATAATAAATATATAAACTCTACGTATAAGTCATGTACTGTCTGCACCAAATTGAGAATAAAATGGCGCCAAGTCATGTACTGTCTGTACCAACTTGAGAATAAAATGGCGCCAAATTAGAACTGTGACGTCAAAAAACTTCTTTTCAGTACATTAGCAGTAAAATAGCCCAGGGTCTATTCCACATCCATTTGCTCCTGAAATACATATCTTTATTATACACGATAAAATTATGTTTACTTCCTAGGTACTTATCGAAAGGAATTGAGACACAGGCGCTAAGGGGCGCTGAAAAGATTTTATGAATTGAGCCCCCCCCCTCTTCGAAAAAATATACGTATACGCCCCTGAACAGTGAACAATCCCATTTACAGTTTTCTTGTCGTGAAAATGATTAAATTGTCCTTGCTTTCCGGTTAGAATTCACCAAAGCAAGGGAGGGGAGGTGTCACTCTTATAATATTTAAAAAATTTTAATTTTGAAATTGATGTCATTTTTTTTTGTTTTTTATTTATTTTTTCCAGTGGGAGGGAGAGCCTAAAGTAAACTTGAAAAGTTGCTACTTTGGCAATAATAATTAAGAATAGTTGTACATGTGTATATAATAACAATGTGACAAGGAATGTGGCAATATCCATACTATTGATATTTGATATCCTCTTATCTGGCAATGATAATGTGCCAACTAAGTACTTGTATCCACACTATTGATGTCTTAATATCTGGCAATAATAGTGTGGCAACTAGTTACCTGTATCCACACTATAGATGTCCTAATATCTGGCAATAACAGTGTGGCAACTAGTTACCTGTATCCACACTATAGATGTCCTAATATCTGGCAATAACAGTGTGGCAACTAGTTACCTGTATCCACACTATGGATGTCCTAATATCTGGCAATGACAATGTAGCAACTAGTTACCTATATCCACTGGCAATGACAAGGTAGCAACTAGTTTCCTGTATCCACACTATGGATGTCCTAATATCTGGCAATGACAATGTAGCAACTAGTTACCTGTATCCACACTATGGATGTCCTAATATCTGGCAATGACAATGTAGTAACTAGTTCCCTGTATCCACACTAATGATATCCTAATATCTGGCAATGATAGTGTGGCAACTAGTTACCTGTATCCACACTATAGATGTCCTAATATCTGGCAATGACAATGTAGCCAGGAATGTGGCAACTAATTGGTATTCCTGTAGAGCAGACTCACTGTTTCCCCATCTAAACATTGATCATTGATCATTGGCTGTTAACCAGTTATCTCCTGCTTTATAATTACTTTTTTTAAAAATATATATATCTTTAATTTTTTAATGATTACTTTAAGTACCTGGACTCACAAAGTACTTTGGTTGTCATGGTTAGCAGCCACTGAAGAATGTCTTGACTGCTGATCTTCTTCATTTCCTGGTTAATCAATACATCAATCAATACATCAATCAATCAATCAATCAATCAATCAATCAATCAATCAATCAATCAACCAACCAATCAATCACTACACCATTCATTTAAACTGATGAAACCCCTCATTAAATCAATTAGAATCTCAATCAATTTGTAAACAATTCAATCGGAAATGTTCAGAAAAATCAATTACTGTAAATAAAAAATAAATAAAACTTTTTCAAGAATAAAATGTTCTACCTTCATCCAGAGAGAGGGAGACCAGAGCAACAGCTGACAAATAGTTGCAGCCTTAATAAAAATAACGATGATTATAAAAATAGCCAATAATTATAAAAAAAAACAATAAAAAACAATGTAAAAAAAACACACAAAAAATAACAATAATATGATTTTCAAGATAAGAAAGTTTCTAACAACTAACAGTCAGAATAATCAACTATATAAATGTTGTAATGTCGTCATCTTTTCCCCCAGTTTTATGGGTCTGACTGTACCTGTCTAGGAGTAGGCCTGTACTGTGGATTAGGGTGGAGTAGTGTATAAACCAGCCTAGATACAAGGGGCGGAGCACTAGCAGGCAACTCGGGCAGATCCGCCTTAAATAAATATAGTTAACCGACAACAAATTGTGCCAAAAGACTTAATTTTCTATCCCGTAAAAAGATATTCTACTAGTAATATTAAGACATGCTTATAAAATATATTTTACACAAAAATCAAAAATTCGCCCCTCAAATGGGGATTAATATTTAAAAAGTATAAGTGAAAATGAAAATTTTGAAATACTTATTGAATTGGGTATCATTGGAACCGAATTAAATTTCTGAATTCAAATCTATTTACAGAATCGAAAAATATTGAAATTTGACTGAGTAAGGTCAAAAAAGGCATTTATTTAGTACTACAATGAAATTTATTCGAAGAAAAAAAACTATTTTTGACCATGCCTTGCCCAATTTTCAATTTTTTTTCAATTCTGTTAATTGTTTTGAACTCCGGTTTTAAGCTACAATGGATTCCCAAATTATAAAGAAATTTTCATTTTAGCTAACACTAGTGATTTTTTATCATTAAACCCCATTTGAGGGGAACATTTTTAAATTTTGTGAAAAATATATTTTAAAAACATGCCTTAGAATTCCAAGTGGAATACTAGTTTGCTCCTGTAAAATGATTTTAGAAAAGTTTCACTAGATTTCATACCCCTCCCGTATTAGTCTTATTATTTATATATATAAAGTCGTAATATCTGTTTGTTTGTTTGGATGTCCGATTGTAACCCATAAACCTCTAGACCGATTTGCCTCAACTTAGATTGGGGAACTTGGAAGAATCACGGAAATGTTCTTAGCTTTGTTTTTAGATTCTAAGTTGAGTGGGTCGAAATAGCTAAAATTGTAATTTACGAGTAAGAAAATCTATCAAGTATTACCATCTAAATAAAGAATCAAAGAAGAAACAGAGAGAGCAGTTTGAAACCGGTCATCCAAAGGATATCAAAACATTTATGTTCTGTATTTAAACGTGCTTTTTTAACCTTGAAATATCTAATTTCAGTTCTCACGTTTTTCTTCAGTAACTTGTTTTCAGATCGATCAAAAATATAAAGCTCATGTTTTTTAAATTTTAGATTCTCTTAGGCTCAAATTTCAATCTTCATAATTGCTTTAAACGTGGCAGATAATTGAAATTCTTAAAAGCATATTTAAATTTTAGCTTTCCAAGAAAAATATTTCATTAAAAGCAACCCAGACCGCCACAGTAGTATCTGACCCTACAGGTGAGAATAGTACTGGAAGTAAAGTACAATCAGGATTAGCGTACATCATCACTTATAGTCTATTTACTATAACCTCGTTAGTTGCAAGAGACTGTAGTGATATCCTAATTGAAACCTAGTAATAAAATTAAAAATTAGGAATTTTACGATTTTCAGGATTTTCTTGGACAGGAGGGGAATGTGTAAATATTGGAGGGGGGGGAAGAAATGATTCTCTAAAATGAAAAGAAAAGACATAAATCATTAAAAGAAATGATTCTCTGAAATGAAAAGAATAAACATAAATCATAAAAAGAAATGATTCTCTAAAATGAAAAGAATAGACATAAATCATAAAAAGAAATGATTCTCTGAAATGAAAAAAATAAACATAAATCATAAAAAGAAATGATTCTCTAAAATGAAAAGAATAAACATATTTTAGAAGTATCACCTCCAAAAATCTCGTAAGCAATCGCACCAGAACTCCATAAATCAGACTAAATTTTTAAAAAAATTAAATTTTAAAAACTTGAATAACAAAATGGCGTTTTATATAATTACCTACAGTCCTGATCATAAAGACTTTTTCAGTGTCTTTGATCTCTGAAATAGTTACTAGCATTTATTTATCAATCAAATTTAACATATATGATTGATGAAACGATCACAAAATAGCCCTAGTCCTGCCATTTCCAAAATGTGGTCAGACTTTTCATGTGCGTTTAAAAATTAAAATTATAGAATTATAAAAAGAATTTTGGTTGGATTTCATTTTAATAATAAAACGTAATTTTTTCTAATTTTGATTGACATCATGCATGCCTTCTGCGGTAAGCTACTTAAAAAATCAAAGACGATGGAAAATGTCGTCTGTTAAATTGTTAATTCATTCCAAGTCTTTCTGATTAGGACTGTATTTTAATATTAGTATTTGTTAACAGTGGATGGTTTAAATCATTGATCGATCCACGAATTGTAACAAAATATTGGGAGGATATTAGATGTTTATGAAAAAAGAAAAATCGGTTCTTAAAACCATGGTGATAATTTACACAAAATGGCGGTGTTCAGAAAATATGGCGGTAAAAGCACAAAGTAATCTCAAAAATTGCGGCATTTGTTATTACCTTGTTAAAGTTCAGCGTAGAGAAAGCTCCAGGTTTGACGAGGACTATTTCAGGAGCCATTAGAGCCATATTTCCGCCTTTATCAGTATCATAACTTCTATACGGAACCCTAAAGTAACAAGGATATTATCCATTAGAGCCATATTTCCACCTTTATCCATACCATAACTTCTATACGGAACCCTATAGTAACAAGAATATTATCCATTAGAGCCATATTTCCACCTTTATCAATACCATAACTCCTATACGGAACCCTATAGTAACAAGGATATTATCCATTAGAGCCATAATTCCGCGTTTATCAGTATCATAACTTCTATACGGAACCCTAAAGTAACAAGGATATTATCCATTAGAGCCATATTTCCACCTTTATCCATACCATAACTTCTATACGGAACCCTATAGTAACAAGAATATTATCCATTAGAGCCATAATTCCGCGTTTATCACTATCATAACTTCTATACGGAACCCTTGAGTAACAAGGAAATTATCCTTGTTACTAAACTAAGTTTAGGGAAAAATTGCAACTAAATGACTGGACATCTATAATGATAAATGAAGACCCTGTTACTGCATTTTCTGAATTTTCTAGCATTTCAAATAATATTTATGAAGATAGTTTTCCCTTAAAAGAGTCAAAACCAAACAAAAATAAGAACCCCATCAACCCTTGGTTTACATCTGCTTTAGGTTTAATCAAATCCTATAAACATAGCTGCTTTTAGAAAATAAAACTCTGTCTATCGTTCTTTGGTAAAAAATGCCACAAAAGTTATTTTTACTTATTTCCAGTGAAATAGCAGAAGGTTTTAATGATTTTTTTTTGTCAACGTGGGACCTAGGCTGTCTAGTTACATTCCAGAATCTAATGTCACTTTAGAAACGTGTTTAAATGAGTCCATAAATGAAAATTTTGTTTTTGCAAATATTACACCGAAAATTATTTTAGAAACAGTAAGTAAGCTGAAACCCAAGAACAGCTCAGGAAAAGACAATATTTTTACTAAACTAGTGAAGGAGATTATTGATTGTATCGATTATCCTACCGCACATTTATTTAATCTTTTTCTTAAAACAGGATACATCCCTAGCGAGTATAAATGTGCAAAAATTATTCCCATCTTTAAAGCGGACAAAAAAGATAAGTTTAATAATTCAGACCTATAAGTATTCTTCCAGCTTTGAGTAAGCTACTTGAAAAAATTGCTGCAATACAAATGTTCAGATATCTTAATAAGTTTAATATCTTTTACGAGCACCAATATGGATTTAGACCTAAGCATAACACAAATCAACCACTTTTGCACTTAATGAATAAATTCTATGAAAACCTTAATAAATCTAAACCAGAATTTACTCTTGGAATATTCCTAAAGAAAGCTTTTGATTATTGTGATTTAGAAATACTGTTAAAAAAAACTAATTCATTATCATTTCAAAAATGTGGCCAACACCTGGTTTAAAAATTATCTTGTTAATAGAACTCACTATGTGTGTATAAATGGAGTTTTGTCAACAGAAAAAATTATAACATGTGGTGTTCCTCAAGTATGTGTTAATGGAACAGTTAAAAGTTAAAATGTTTAACACAAGGAAAAACAAACAAAAAGATACAATTCTTGAGATTGATTTTAATATACAGGGTGTCCCAAAAAACACGGGAATTCAGTGACGAATTCGATATCGTCTTTGTTATGAATTAGCACTGTAATACCTAATTTCAAAAGCAATAATATTATTATGTCTGCTAGAGTTTATTTTATGAAAACGGTAAAAGACTGTAAAGATGTGTCTATAATTGTTTTACTAAGTACAACCGTATGCAGTCAAAACATAAACAAACAAATTGTAAACATAGCAGACGAAACTCTTACAGATTACAGCTTTCTCATTAGGTATCACTATACTAAATCAAAGAATTATTAAAAAAGACGATATCGAATTCGTCACTGAATTCCCATGTTTTTTGGGACACCCTGTAATAACGGAAAAGTAATTTATATAATAAAACAAGACATTCGTATTATACATGTTGTCTATAGCCGGCCAAACGGCTGGACCGATTTTTGTGGACATTCATGGGTGGTGGGGGGTGTTACAGGCTAAAAAAAAGTTGAAATTTTTTTTCTCAATCTTTTTAAAATTTTTTCCACGGGCAACGTCGGGCCCTTCAGCTAGTGTATATTAAAACTAAGAAAAAATTATTCATTAATATATAAACCAGTTGTATGTGTGTTCTTGAAAAATAATTCCCCATAAAATCAAGGCAAACTAGTAATTTTTTGGATTAAAAGAATAAAAAAGTTCAACAATTTTTATTTCCCATATTTTAAAAATTAAAGATGAACAGAGGCGAAATAACAAAGAACTTACTTTAGTCCTGATCCTTTCTCTGCCAGACAGCATCCAAAATCAGATATCACCAGTCTTGGGAACTCTACACCACCTAGTGTAGTATATTAGTACAGTGCAGTACATTAGTACGGTGAAGTACATTACAACAGTGCAATACGTTATTACAGTGCAATACATTCTTACATTGCAAATTAGTGCAGTGTAGTACATAATTACAGTGCAATACATTAGTAAAGTGAAAATCATTCATATGGGGCAGTAAATCAGCAGAGTGCAGTACATTAGTATAAAGCATTACATTATTACAGTGCACAACATTATTACAGTGCAGTACATTATTACAGTGAAGTTCATTAGTAAAATGCAGTACATTATTACAGTGTACCTGTAGTGCAGTGCATAAAAAATAAAAAAATGTTAATTTAACATCTGTTATGAAACAGTGATTACCCGAGAAACATATTAGAAGATTACCTAAGAGATATATTAGAAGATTACCCAAGAGATATATTAGAAGATTACCCAAGAGATAAACTAGAAGATTACTCGAGAAATTTATTAGAAGATTACCTGAGAGATATATTAGAAGATTACCCAAGAGATATATTAGAAGATTACCCAAGAGATAAACTAGAAGATTACCCGAGAAATTTATTAGAAGATTACCTGAGAGATCTGTTAATAGATTACCAGAGAGATCTGTTGGAAGTTTATTTGAGAGATCTATAATTTGATTACCTGAGAGTTATATTACCTGAGAGATCTATAAGAAGATTAACCAAGAGATCTATTAGAAGATTACCTGAGAGATCTATCTGAAGATCATCTGAAAGATGAGAGATCTATTCGAAGATTACCTGAGAGATCTATCAGAAGATTGTCAGACTTGAGATCTCTATGCGCTACTCCACAGTGATGCATGTAGGCAATCCCTGAGTATAGGTATTTTCCTTAAGGCATTTTCCCAAGAGCGACTTCCCAAGTTACAATTTCCCAATGGGCAACCTCCCAAATTTGCAATTTCTCATGCGGCAACTTCCCATAGGTGTATTTAAGCCTTCATAGGCGCCGCACGCTGCAATTGGGGCTGAGCGTTGCAGCTAGGATAGGCAAGAGGGGCCGAGCTGAGGCCAGAACATGCTAGGGAACCGAGCGCTGCAGCTAGGAAATACTTGGGAAGTGGCCACTTTGGAAATTGCACATTAGAGAAGTTGCCGCTTGGGAAAATGTCTTAGGGAAAGTACCTAACATCTGAATATAAAACAGGAATATGTATTTGCAAAAAAACTATCATCGAAGCTTTGAGAGAATTAAAAAGTTTCTTTTTAGCAAGCAAATTTCAATATATTTCACAATGGACAGTAAATGTAATTTCAAGTGACCCTTCATTGCTTCAAATTCGCAAAGGTAACCTTCGAAGCTTTGTTTGCTCAAGAATTAAATAGATATCTATGTTTTTCTATTTGATAAATGATTTCAGAGCGTTGTACGTTTCTGGTTAATAAGCTATGGGGGAGCTATAAGAATTACACACTTTTCAAGCTAGAAAATAGTCTCACACAGATTTAATCAAATGAAGGTTAAAAGGGTATCGTTATGAATTGGACATGCCCCCTCGGCCTCTTGGGAGGGACACTTAAAAATACAACAACTCTGAGGAATACTTTAAAAATTCTTTTTCATACTCTTTAAAATAAATGTAAACAAAAATCAGCAAAACTTGCAATGTAGGACATTTCAGTAACATAACATTCAGAGCCAGCGATCCAAGAAAATACGACTAAGGTCTAATCTGTCTTGGGCCATATTTTCGGCTTGAGCTTCCAGATTTAAATTGCATCTAATTTCCCAAAAAGTTGAGTTCATAAAACCGGTTTAATGTTGTATTTGGCGCAGAGGCGTATTCAGGGGGGGCGGGCTAAGCTCCCCCCCTGGACCAGTGAAATCTATTGATTTTAGGGGGTTTTCAGGCCCCAACAGGTGCTGAGCCCCCCTGGAAAGAGAAATAAATTTAAGCCCCCCCCTCGACAAATTCCTGAATACGCCTAAGATTTGGCGGATTTTCATGGTTGGAATTGGCGCATTCCGGGTTTTGATGAGAACAAGACTCAACATTGAGCCTTACTCTCAACTAAAACCAACCAAGGTCGGTTTTATTTTCATTAGACCTAACTCTGTACGTCCGGCCTAAGATCTCGTAGCTGTCCATTACGTGACACAAGCCGTCCTCAGAGTCTAAGATTGGGTCTTAAACCTGGGTTTAAGGAATTACAACCTGAGCCGAAGCTTTTTAATCGCAGGCTCAGATTCATTATAAAATAGTAATTTTAGTAAACAGGCGATTTAATTTGTTGTCTAACCTTCCAATAGCTGAGTAAGAAGGATAAGTGATATCCTGGACGTAATTAGTTCCTTAAATTCCTCAAGGTATTCTCGAAGACTGCAGGCATACCTTAAAAATATTAAATTCAAGAAATAGTAATTTTAACAGTGCTTTTTTGGCTTCCTGGATCCGGATCAGGATCCAGAAAAATATCCGGATCCGGATCCAAGGGGCAAAATATCAACTAAAAGCTGCAAACAAAATTCTCTTGCTATCCAAAACGCAAATCTAAACGTTGAAAAAACATTTCCTTATCTCTGAATGGTTCATTAAAAATGGTTCAGCAAAAAATAACGATAAAAAAGAAAATAATTTAAAAAATTCTTCTTCTGTTTAATAAAAAATCAGTATATCTCGAAGAAATGTTAAGGTCAGCATGGATCCGGATATATTTTTGTCCAGGATCCGGATCCGGATCCTTATTCCTTGTTTTTAAAAAGAATTAAAAAATATCTGCATGTTGTCAATGTCGCAACAAAAGAGACTTATTCCGCATTTCAAGAAAGACCAACAACTTCAATGACTTAAGAAACTAATTCCACATGACTTAAAGAGACTCGTTGTGATGGAATTATCTGCATAGAACTCTATTTTAAAACACCTGCGCATGACGAGGAATAGACTCATATTCCGCCCTGAGCCCTGAGGGTTAAGTCTAGGAGGTAGAGCATCTCCATACAGCTGGCGGTCACCGGGCAGTTCGGGGATCTTAAAATTATCCTTCGTTTCATGACGGACAATTGGGATATTCTTATTTTTCTAGCTGAAATATAATTTTCTTCCGAAACATTGTGACGTCATTCGCAAGTGCACCACTTCACGGTAAACTATAGCTGCCCGACATCAATTTTCAGCTAGGAAAATAATTTATATCTCAGTCGTTGATCGTCAGATAAAGGGTTAAAGGCCGTGCTGAAGTAAATTCTATAAATGGATCCTCTCTTTTTGGTAATCTCCAGACTAAGTTAGTCTTTGGATTAATTTCTAGAGATTAGAGATGCGCTCTTAAACTTTTGAAAAACCGGTTTATTCTTTTTCCCGTATTTGAGGCGTCATATCCATTGGACTAACGATCGATTGAACGAACGTAAGTTTTTGATTAATACTTATTAAGACTAACATTCAAACATTAAAAGTTTCCACAGTGGATATTCAGATTAAGCTATCAGGATTAAGGTTCTTATCCAATTCTAAAGTTTTCAGCTCAGGTCAACTTGAAATTAAGGCGATAGCCCTTTAAACACCATTCCGGTTCTTTGTCCATCTAAAAAACTTTTTTTTTTTAAATTTTCATTAAAAACATGCTTTTTTAAATGTATTTCTACAGAAAAATTAATGAAATTTAAAAAATTTGGAAAATTGTCGTCTTCACTGATAAGTTCGGGATCTTCATGGAGCGAAATTTCATAATTAAAGAAGAGTATTCTATTGTTCTGTGATCACCACTGTCTACCAAAAATTGAAGATTGATAAGCAATAAAGAGGAAGATATGTTTGTTATTCAATATTTAAATGTCTCGAATTCTGTTAATTTCCTTCTTTTCTCTGCTGTTACTTCAGGGGTGTGTATGTTTCAAAAATATTTATTTGGTGATTTGGGAGGAAAAATGAAGAATTGAATATCCACAGACAACTTTTTTCTTTGTATTTGATACTGTTTACCCAAACCCATAAAAAATGTTTACACTCCGCGGCACAAGCAAGCATATAACAACTGTTGAAAATAAATTATTTTCAAAAAAGGAGGGGGGGGGGAGAAAAATGATTTTTTGAGAAAATATACTTACACACCCCTTGGGCTACTTTAAATAATAGAGAACCCATTATTTATAAAAATCAATTTTCATGAAGAAAAACAAACAAGAACATCTTTTTTTACTCAGACAATGGGACGGTTCAAGGGTACCGTTGTAAATCGGACATGACGCTCATTAAACGGAGGGTCACTTAAAGTTCATGAATATTCCCTTTAAACTTACTGAAATAAAAATAACTTATTACCCTGTCAGCGAAAACTGTAAGAATTTCCACAATGTTGGGATGCGCTGGAAGCCTTACACTTTCGCCTGGAAAAAAAACGGATAAATTTCAAAAATCATCAACTTAGTGCTTAGAATTATTACCAGGGTTGAAGATGTCAACCTAGCTGGTTACGGTTAACTCAAGTTCCCGGAAACCCTTAACCCGGAATTCAAGAATTATTATAAAACAACGCCTTGCATCTTAAAAATGCGTATTGAGAGAGGGGAAATACAGAGCGTTAAATCGACTATGGGCCAGAACACCCCCATTGACTTCCTTTTAATTAATCAATTAACAAATTGTTGGGGGGGCATACTGGACCAAAGGAACCGCCAGGTTAAAAGTTGTGGCACTCAAATGAAATTCAATAGAAATGACTCTAATATCACCAAGGTCATTGATTATCAACGTTTTAAAATCCTAATCAAGTGTTAAGTTAAAAAAAACATATTTTTTTTTCGCGGATTTTTAGCCTGAAAAATGCTTTATTTATTTACTATGTGACAATTAAAAAATCTTGGAAAAAAATATTTTAACATGTTTTACATTTTATTAAACTACACTGGTTGTTTACTGACTAAACAGGGCTTTGATGCATTATTTTAACTTATTCTTCTTGTGTTAAAGTCGATCGCAGATGAAGTTAGCCGTTTTGCATGCTCAGGGTGTTCACTGTTTCGTTTAAATCGGTTCCAAGTTGGCTTAAATTTTGCATGTATAGCTTCTCCACATTGCTCTGCAAACTTTGACAGTCCACAATTGTGAAACTCTATGAAAGGTTCCACATGACAAAAAAGTATATGAACTTTCCAGGTACAGTTTAGCTTAAGGCCTAAAATATCTGCTATTTCTTGAGCAGATAAGAATGAGTTCCTTAAAACTGTAAATGTCCTTTTATAATCAGGTTGGAGAGCTTTTCCAAAGCATGCTTCTTTTACAGATCGGAAATCTTTAAGGCATTGTACAACAGGAAGCAACATAGGCATAGATTTACTGACATCAACTTCTAAGGAATCTAAATTCTTCAAGATTCGATTAGAATTATTTCCATCCCAGCCTCTTCCTTGGTATCCTCGTTGGAAGATATTGTTGGATACTAACCACTGATCAAATCCAGGCCATGCATCTAAAAGTAATATTCCTAAACTTTTAACAAAGCCTATCAGAATATGAAGCTCAGGGGGAGGTATCAGTTGTTCCAGAACTGTATCAGGGTTCTCTTCATAGTACAAGATTCGAGGGTTAATCACATTCATGTAGTTTTTCATATCTTTCTTGATAGAACCATTCTCAGCATATTGACTATACCANAGGATTAATCACATTCATGTAGTTTTTCATATCTTTCTTGATAGAACCATTCTCAGCATATTGACTATACCAATAATCCAAGCTTCCCAGGGTTCTTATGGTTCCTTTTTCCAATGAAGACGGTCCTTCACACCATAGACAACTATGCTTTCCGCTGTATGAAGAAAGACCGAAAACTGCATTTGCACATTTTAGGTCAATGCAAGATAGTAACTAACATTTTCCAGTTTTAATTTTTCAAGAATTAGGCGAAGATTGTAATTACTTTTGAGGAAGCACATTTTTTTAGATTTAAAATTTTAAATTACAAATTAAAACTACACTATTTCATGGGATTCCGTTTCGGCCACTCTAACCCTCTTCAATCTTTACAACTTTTTAATTATACAGGATACATTGCTAATTTTGGCTGTTTTAAAACTATGTAATTTAAATTATTAATTTTTATTTACTTGAATAATCTAACCAAAGTTCCATTCCTCTAATTATTTAAATAACTCCAATCGAGTACGAGCCTCATTAAAACCTAGTATGATCATTTTAGAAAAGTTTGTTAAAAAGGGACAATTCAATAATTTTTCTGCTAATGAGTTTGGAATTTTGAGTTTTGAAAAACCAGTTGTGGGCCATGATAAGCTAGGAGCTGCCGACCATAGCAGTGTTGATCAGGATGCAGGGTTCGAGCCAATCGTATCCATCTTCGGGACTAAGTCCTACTGACTATATACTTTTAGTTATAGTAGTATTAAAAGAATTAGGCGAAGATTGTAATTACTTTCAGGAACTTCTTCTGCAATAGCGAGAACTTTACACCTTTGAACTCCACTGTTTAAAAAACCATTACTTAAGTCATCTTCAAGAGGATCGGACACATTAAGAATAACTTTCAAAAACGATCTTCCTCCATCTAGAGAAATTCTAACAAAAGCTGTCAGAGGATTGAGGTTTCTTTCTTGTATGAGTTTTAATATAAACGCTGATGTATCCTGAATGCAACTTTTTAAAAAATCAATTTCTGAATATTTGTTACTTTCAACATTTTTATGTTACTATTTGGATGAATATCTTTTAAAATTAATCTTTTAGTTGGACAATTATTTAAATAAATATATTGAAAATTAATCAATCTGGAACGTTTTTTAAACACAATTTATTTTTCAGTTTTTAGTAAACTTGTAAACAAAAACTTGGAATATGTTTAATACACCTTGTAACTTTTACTGACATTTAAGAAATTTAGCTTTTGATTAGCCNTTTCCAATTTTGGCGGAATTTTCTTTTCAAATTGGCGTGTTCAAAAAAAAATGTTTTCCAGGAAATTTTTTGTTGTTTCATAAACCTTCCCCGGGTCTGGGGTCATGTAAGGTCTCACACAAAATTTGGGCCCGATTAGTTCTGCCGTTTTGACGTTTCTTGGATACAAACAGACAAAAAAAACAGAAAGACAGACAGACAAGCAAAGTATATATCGAGATAAACATCTGGAAATAATTACCAAAGAGACATATCATTTGAAATAATACTAAAAAAAAATGTTTTAGGAAAGTAACTTTCAATTGGGATTCCCAAATTCTTACCTTTGCATGGCTCGAAGTATCGTTAATGCATTAGATTCAGCATGGTAATTAAACATCATTTTTACAGCCAGGTTTACATCTTTGTTCTCAGTCTCCTAAATACAGACAGTAGGTAAAAGATGGATGGAACCATGTTTCATGCTTTCTTTGAGAATTGTAATTGGACCCGTTTATTCTTTTTAGTTCATTCCAGTACTTGCATTATTATTAAATTTATATTTTAATGTTTATTATTATTATTATTTTTATTATTAGAAGACAACCCGTCATTCAGTGAAGTTGGGGTCGACGCTCCTGTAAGGAATCATAAGGAAGTGAAATCTGCAAGAGACCACTGTACAACGAGAGTATCCATGCAATCCACGGACAATGAACAATGCCTCACAAAGTCCCAGATGGAGACTTACTGTAAGCGGAATTTCAAGTGAATTACAAGAATTTACGAAAATTAAAACACTTTACAGCCTAGACTAAACAATATTATCTTTACATTATTGATCAGATAAAGAGTTTCAAGGGTACCGTTGTAAATCGGGCATTGCCATATTTGAATGGAGGGTCACTAAAAATTACACGTACACAGTCCCTTTAAAAATTCAACAACCAGAATAATTTTGTCCGTCTTGTTTAAAGAAAGAAGTGTGAGCAATGTATGTTTGAAATTATAAATTTAAAAGAAAATCTTAAAATACTTACAACTGAGGGATTAAGGGTGGCAGAGTAAACAACAGCAGAGCATCCTTTAGCTATTGGTTTCCCTAAATATTTAATGTAAGTAAGTAAGTAAGTAAGTAAGTAAGTAAGTAAGTAAGTAAGTAAGTAAGTAAGTAAGTAAGTAAGTAAGTAAGTAAGTAAGTAAGTAAGTACGTAAGTAAGTAAGTAAGTAAGTAAGTAAGTAAGTAAGTAAGTAAGTAAGTAAGTAAGTAAGTAAGTAAGTAAGTAAGTAAGTAAGTAAGTAAGTAAGTAATTAAGTAAGTAAGTAAGTAAGTAAGTAAGTAAGTAAGTAAGTAAGTAAGTAAGTAAGTAAGTAAGTAAGTAAGTAAGTAAGTAAGTAAGTAAGTAAGTAAGTAAGTAAGTAAGTAAGTAAGTAAGTAAGTAAAAGTAAGTAAGTAAGTAAAAGTAAGTGGGATAAAAATACCTAAATCAAAATCTGCGAGACTCCAAACATGTTTCTTTTCCTCTTCCTTCTGCTCCTTCTCCTTCTTAACATTTATGTTTGAATTTTTCCTGATCAATATTTGAAAAGAAAACTAAAAAGTAGGTAAGTAAATTGCCAATTTTTCATATTTTATTCCCTAAATCATCATACATCATTTCCCAAGGGGCCGGGGGGGGGGACGAGGAATTAGTTCTTTAAGATAAATACCCCTACAGGTTATTTGCTTATTTTATGATAAGCAAATTTTGAATGTACTGTGGTTTCTGTATAAGCCGAGTATATAGCCCGGTTCATAGATCGAGCTGTAGCTATGACTTGACAGCTGAGCTGTAGCTAGTTAAAGCTGTCTGAGTTTTCTAGTCAATGAACGCACCTAGATCAGACCTTAGGTGTGACTTCAAATCGTAGCAAAATTTCAGCTGATCCAAATCATACCTCAGCTAGGATTTAGCTCCGACTTCACAGCTAAATCACAGCTAATGGGAACAAACTGGACGCCATTATTTACAGAATCCAAATGAAATGGGAACATTTATTCAGCCATTAAAATGAAAATATGAAAAATCGAATATAATATTTTGTTGTATTGTTTTACTTTTAGTTTATCAAAAAAAGAATAGTTAATTTTGTTTACAAAATGAAAAGATAATTGATCAAATTTATATTGCAATTAAAATGTAAATTGTTCATAAACAAATGATTAAAAATAAATTCGAAAATTTGATTTTTCAAAAAAAAATTTTGGTATTTGAAGAAATGAAAGGGAGGGGGGCGTTGGGTCCAAGGGGGAGGATGCATTTTTATAAATAAATAAATATGAAAATTGCATATTCATCTACATAAAACTAAAAAACTTTACTCTTTGTTTAGACAAATTTGTCAACAAAATATGATGAAATTTTCAGAATTTAGTATCTTGAAATTTTGTAATACAAATTTTTTTGGTAAAATTTTGTCCTTTTTTAAAAGACGACTTTATTAAAGAGATCGCTTTTTGTGCAAATGCCCAGTAAGATTTCAATTTAAGCTGTCAAATTGCTATGACTTCGCAGCTTGGATTACAGCTTAGCTGCGACTCGAAGTCACAGCTATCAAATGCTATGACTTGAGACTAATGAACGAGGTGTGATCCAATTTTGAGATCAGAGCTCAGAGCTATGTCTGGAAATCATAGTCGTAGTTACAGCAAGTTACAGCTTGTTCTATGAACCGGGCATATGTGTACTGTGCGTACTGTATAACCTGTATAAGTGATGTTCTTCCTACAGCTAGCCGTATCTCCTGGCATACACCTTCCACCTCATCCTCCTTCGTTATTATTCCAGATCCTAGATAGATAATTAGATAGATAGATAGATAGAAGGATAGATAGAAGGATAGATATATAGATAGATAGAAAGATAGATAGAGGGATAGATAGATAGATAGGTATATAGATAGATAGATATAGAAAGATAGAGAGTGTATATTTTCTTCAAAAATCATTTCCCTTCCTTCTTTTAAAATAATCATTTTATAAAAAACGAAAAAAAAATTTCTTGTTCGTTGATGTAAATTTTTTTAATCCCCAAATCTTCAAAAATCAATTACCCTCAACCCACCTTATATACACCCCTTAGATAGATAGATCTAGATATATAGATATAAAGATATAAAGATAGATAGATAGTAAGATAAATGTTCATTTATATCTGATTGATTTTAAAGATTAAATAACTGCTTAGCTAATAGAAACGCCCCTTATCAGGAGGGGTTGTTAGTTAAATGACCAACCTGAGGCTAAGGCCACGCCCACCAAGGCAAAGAAAGGGGCGGGATTCCCCTGGCTTGTAATATGGTGAGCAGCTTTTCGTCGCAGATTTGCCGCCTAATTATTAAGAATTATTGGGGAAATATTTTTGTTTTTTCGTCGCAGATTTGCCGCCTAATTATTAAGAATTAATGGGGAAATATTGCTGTTTTTATGTGAAAAGTGTATGAAAAGTATGATTTGCAAGTTACTTATACAGAAAATGATCAACTTTTGATGGGAAAATATGATATAAATTTCACTCAAACATAATCTTAATAATTATGCCTACAGCCCTGATACTGATTTATATATTAATATGAATTGGTTGAATTTCACAATGCTTTCTTTAACATAAAAATGACTGAACGGAAACTCCCATGGCCTGACTCATGAATAATACATGACTTGAAAAGCTAAAATTAAAAATTGTTATTAAAATAGTTAGATAGAACTACCTAACATTTATCATGAATTAGACATTTCTAACAGTCATAAGATGATTACAGATTAGAAATATCATCGAAATTGATACCTGTGAGTTAGTAACTCTACAGAGAACATTATCAATGATAGATCTGCGTAAACTGGAGAACGTGTAGTACTTCCCCTCCCCTCTCTCTTCTCCTTCGTAAGATTTGTTTAGTTTGGTGCCAGGGGTATATATTTTAAATAATTAACCACCCCTCCCCTTCCTCGATTTTATTATCCTTTTATGATATTTTTTTACCAAAAATTTATATATTCCGTTAAAATAAGTTAGTATATACCAAAAAAAAACTTGAAAAAAGATGAATACAATTAAGAATTAAATATTTTACCCCGAAACCTCATGTATATTTAAAAATGAATTCTCACAATCTTTTTTTTTAACTCATTTTAGGTAAAAATTTNTCAATCAATCAATCAATCAATCAATCAATCAATCAATCAATCAATCAATCAATCAATCAATCAATCAATCAACCAGTCAATCAATCAATCAATTTATAAATTAATGTTGATTTTGTTAGATATCAGATATTAGAATTTGATTTAAAAATCTACCTGGTTTTGCTTCCCCTGAAACTCAATCTCTAGTGCTCTATAGCCACGGAGATTATGTCCAGTATTCCTAGCAGGGATATTATAGTTATTTATATCCACTTTGCAGGGATGTTAGGAATTATCTTTATTTTTCTAAACTGATATTATGTCCAGTATTCCTAGCAGGGATATTATAGTTATTTATAATCCACTGTGCATGGATGTTAGGAATTATCTTTATTTTTCTAAACTGATGTTATGTCCAGTATTCCTAGCAGGGATATTCTAGTTATTTATAATCCACTGTGCATGGATGTTCGGAATTATCTTTAGTTCTATAAACTGATATTATGTCCAGTATTCCTAGCAGGGATATTAAAGTTATTTATAATCCACTTTGCAGGGATGTTCGGAATTATCTTTAGTTCTATAAACTGATATTATGTCCAGACGCCTAATTATTAAGAATTATTGGGGAAATATTTTTGTTTTTTCGTCGCAGATTTGCCGCCTAATTATTAAGAATTAATGGGGAAATATTTCTGTTTTTTCGTCGCAGATTTGCCGCCTAGTTATTAAGAATTAATGGGGAAATATTGCTGTTTTTTCGTCGCAGATTTGCCGCCTAATTATTAAGAATTAATGGAGAAATATTGCTGGTTTTATCTGAAAAGTTTATGAAAAGTATGAATTTGCAAGTAACTTATACAGACAATGATCAATTTTTGATGGAAAATATGATATTTTAACTCATACATAAAAGGGTATGGTTAAGAATAGGATTTTAATAAATAATTATGCCTACGGCTACAGACCATTTTAGAAGAGAAAAATTAAATATATTTATGTCATTGTAATGGGCATTTTATGTCATTGTAATGGGTATTATTAAGTGCGAAAAAGTTTTTGTCGGGATTTATATTTTTTCTAGTTTTCTAGTTTTTAGTTTTTCTGTTTTCTACTTTTTTTTGATCGATACCCATTTCAATAACATATTTAGTTTTATTCAGTTTTACTCAAATTATTTAAAATCAGGTCGATAAAGTTACTTAATCACCCTTTTGTAGGGTGATTAAGTAACTTTATCACTCTACAATGAGAAAAATTAGGTACAAACTTTGATATTTCAATAGCAGGGTGAAAAAGTTACTTTTTCCCCCTGTTGTAGGGCGATAAAGTCCCCTAATCACCCTTCAACGGGAAATATTAGGTGTGATAATTTCCTTCAAAATTGAATACTGATTTAGATATTAATAACTATCTCAAATAATCATTACTTTCAATGTTGTTAAATACCTTCACATTTGAGAGTAATTCAAGAAATTTGTAAAACTATCATACCAAATAACATGGATAATGTTTGTATGGGTGTCTGTCTTTTTGTATCCATTACCATTAAAAATAAAAATGGCTAAACGGAAACTCTCATGACCTGACTCTGGGGGAAGGTTTATCAAATTGGAAGCATTTTGCAAGGGAAAAATATCCAAACTTAAATAGAAAATCCGCAAATCTTTTTTCCGTGGGGAAAAAAACATGATGACTTGAAAAGCTAAAATTAATAATTGTTATTAGAATAGTTAGATATAACTACCTAACATTTATCATGAATTAGACATTTCCCAGAGTCATAAGATGATTACAGATTAGAAATATCTACGAAATTGTCATTAGAAAAGTTAGATATAACTACCTAACATTTATCATGAATTAGACATTTCCAACAATCATAAGATGATTACAGATTAGAAATATCAACGAAATTGATACCTGTGAGTTAGTAACTCTACAGAGAACATTATCAATGATAGATCTGCGTAAACTGGAGAACGTGTAGTACTTCCCCTCCCCTCTCTCTTCTCCTTCGTAAGATTTGTTTAGTTTGGTGCCAGGGGTATATATTTTAAATAATTAACCACCCCTCCCCTTCCTCGATTTTATTATCCTTTTATGATATTTTTTTACCAAAAATTTATATATTCCGTTAAAAAAAAAGTTAGTATCTACCAAAAAAACTTGAAAACAGATGAATACAATTAAGAATTAAATATTTTACCCCGAAACCTCATGTATATTTAAAAATGAATTCTCACAATCTTTTTTTTTAACTCATTTTAGGTCAAAATTTTTTAACAAGATGACAGGATGATTTTCAAGGAGTTTATTTTTTTTGTGGGGGGGGGGCGAGAGAAATATTGAACTAGAATAGTTCTATCCTCTCCTCCTACTCAAACATTTATTTACCCTTAAAAAATCCATGGGATAATTTTTGAATGGGGAAAACCATTGTTTACAGAGGGACTGTAAGCGTAATTTCAAGTGACCCTCCATGCAAAGATGGCAATGCACGATTTACAACAATACCTTGAAAAACTTTTTCTGATCAAGTATTAACAAATATCAACGTTTTTGTTTCATAAAAACTGTTCAATTTCATTCGCGGTTTCTCTGCGAAAGTGACTTGTGCATTTCCTCTTTATATTTAGCAATAGAGAAACTTTCAGAAAAACGACGGTATCATCAACATTTTTGATCAAATTAAAGGGGGCCATTGAATATAAAAACATTGTCATCATTGCATGGATGTTCACTTGAAATTACGCTTACAGTCCTTTTAAAAAAATATTTGTGCACCCCTGTAATCACCTTGAGTACTTCTACGCCGGTCTCGGCCCCAGCGCGCCTCGCAGTTCTCCCGGCAACCCTGATAAATCAATCAAACAATCAATCAACATATCAACCAGTCAATACATCATTCAGTCAGTCAAGCAACCAATCAAACAACCAATCCATCAATCAATCAATCAATCAATCAGATAAACCATTTCATCATCATATACATCATAGTTCTCAATTAATTAATTAATCAGACAAATAGTTTCATAACATTATGCATCAGTAATCAATCAATCAACCAACCAACCAATCAATCAATCAATCAATCAATCAATCAATCAATCAATCAATCAATCAATCAATCAATCAATCAATCAATCAATCAATCGACCAAACAATTTATGAATTAATATTGATTTTTTAGATATCAGATATTAAAATTTGATTTAAAAATCTACCTGGTTTTGCTTCCCCTGAAACTCAATCTCTAGTGCTCTATAGCCACGGAGATTATGTCCAGTATTCCTAGCAGGGATATTATAGTTATTTATATCCACTTTGCAGGGATGTTAGGAATTATCTTTATTTTTCTAAACTGATGTTATGTCCAGTATTCCTAGCAGGGATATTATAGTTATTTATATCCACTTTGCAGGGTGTTAGAAATCTTTAGATCTATAAACTGATATTATGTTTTTCTAAAGCACGGATATTATAGTTATGTATATCCACTTTACAAGGATGTTAAGAATATTTCCGAAAATTTTGAAGAATAATCATATTTCAGGGATACTATCTAGTCTATATAACATAGCTCTATGCTCATATATATGTTAGGCTAACAAAACGACTTTCTACTTCAAAATTTTAAATTTCGAAATGCCTAGTATTTCCATTATATAAATATATAGAAAATAACTTGGCAACTCAAGGACAGATTTACTTAGAGCTAAGTTTATCTTTATGATGGCATACACTAAACCCTAGTAGACGAATTTACATTTAAAGGATAGTTTTTCTTCAAGGACGGTTGATGTTTGGATGAAAATTTGATTTGTCACGGACAGTTGTATATATCGAGGAAAGTTTAATTTTTCAAGGACACTTACATATTTCATAGACATTTATATATTTCATGGACATTTATATAATTGTAGGACATTAATGCTTTCAAGGACATTTATATATTTAGAGGACATTATTATATTTTGAGGACATTTCTTTATTTTGAGGACATTTCATTATTTGGAGGACATTTTTATGCTTGGGAGGACATTCATATATTTAGAGAATATTTATAAAATTTATATATATTTGGAGGACAATTTTACCTGTTTTGAGGATTATTGTTGGATTGAAGGACATTTATATATTTGGAGGATATTTATCTAATTGGAGGACATTTTTACCTGTTTAGAGGATTATTGTTGGATTGAAGGACATTTATATATTTGGAGGATATTTATCTAATTGGAGGACATTTTTACCTGTTTAGAGGATTATTATTGGATTGAAGGACATTTATATATTTGGAGGATATTTATCTAATTGGAGGACATTTTTACCTGTTTAGAGGATTATTGTTGGATTGAAGGACATTTATATATTTGGAGGATATTTATCTAATTGGAGGACATTTTTACCTGTTTAGAGGATTATTGTTGGATTGAAGGACATTTATATATTTGGAGGATATTTATCTAATTGGAGGACATTTTTANTTTCTGGGCCGAGCGCTGCGGCTAGGTCAGGTTAGGGGGCCAATCTCTGCGGCCAGGACGGGTTTTTATTTTCAACAGGTTTCAACAAAAGTAGTATATATTTGGAAGGTTAGGTTGGTCGAGCGCTGCGGCTACGACAGGCTAGGGGGCCGGGCGCTGCGGCCACATAATCAATTATATCCATGTCTTACTATATAAGATCCATGTAAAAAATTGATAGGAGGGGTCTAAAAATCGTATGCTAGGAATTTACCCCTACCCAAACCCTAAAATAATAAAAATAAATATAATATAATAAAAGTGGTCATGTATGTACAAAATTGATAGGAGGGGGGCGGGGGGTTGGTCCAAAAATCGTATACTAAGGCGGGGCCCAAGTCTTTGTATCGCCGCTAGAGTAACTGCTAAAAAAATGCATTTTTTGCAGTTGTAAAATGCGAATAAAAATCTGTAAAGAGAAACGTATACGGCAGTGAGAAATTGCGTCATACGGTTCAGTTTTCCTCGCGTAATAATTCTACGCAGTAAAGCTTACGGTTCAGTTTTCCTAGCGTAACAACTCTACGCAGTAAAGCATAAATTCTACGTAGTAATAAAACAGAAACTTTCTCCATAAATTATTTTTTATTATTGAAAGTTAAAAATGTTTCCTTTTATTCTTTTCAAAGAGTTATTCAATTAAGATATTTGATAAGGTTTTTTTAATATGATGAATTGGAGCAGGGTGAATTAGTTATTATCAAAGACGATGATACCCAAATTTTGCTTCATGAACGCGGCATTTAATGCACATAAACAAATATTGTTTTTAAGTTTTAACAATAAAGAGAAAAGAATGGATGCAAATGAGGAGATGGAGGTAAAAACGAATGATTCTTTGGAAGAAGAAGAAATGGAGACTGAAGAAAATGGAGGAAAAGCAGAAAATGAAATTATAAATGATAATAATTTTTCCATTCAATCAGTTTCAAACAAGGTTGAGGTAAGACAACATTATTGGGCCAGGGTCAGCCCTAGAGAACGAGTTTTTTACCCCCCCCCCCCCCCCC